TAATCGAAGACGTAGTCTACGCAAAATTCTTTGATAGAAACGTTAGCGCAGATTACTTTAGCATAAACGACATCTAGTATAGCAAAACTTAAATTTCTTACTTCATATTATTTTATGACTCACTACTTTACTATCTATACTTTAAGATTTAATATGAAATGGAGAAATTCAACAGTTTTGTATAGCCTGATGTGCTAAAATATTATCTATGTTGGCAGCACTTTACACTTAAGTTCATTCTAAAAATTAATGAATAGAAAATTATCTCTGGAATTATCTCATAAAATTTAATTAAATAAATAAATACACATTTTGATTCCAATAAAAAATATTTCATTTTCCGAGTAACTTAGTCGTGTAGTGGATGAGCACCGCGGCCAGCGGTCGTTGTAGTTAAGCAACTTTCGCAAAGGTCAGTCACGGGCTTTGGAAGGCACATAAAGCCCGTATACCCTCCAATCTGCATTGGGCCAGCGTGGAAGGTCATGGCCTATCCTCCTTACCATAGCGAATGCGCTTGCAGAAGGGAGTTCAAAGGGCTGATGATGAAATAATATTTCTATCTACAGTGCAACATATATATTTTTTTCAATAAACGACTTATAAGATTACATATATATATGTCGTGGTCATATCGTAGAATTGACAATTTTATGATCCGGCAGGCCATTTGATCATATCATTTAAGCTATACTTAATACAAAATGATTAAAAAATCCACTTGGGTTCAGTATAGCACCGTGAATACGAAATTGATCTAGTAAAATATCTTACAAGTGCAACGTTAAATGATATGTCAATCCACGTTTGGTCATATCATTAATGTAGGGTGTCCAATAAATTAAATCTAATTATTTGCTGAAATACCTTGTTTATTCGTTAGAGTTATGATTTTGTGGTCTAAAAACAACAACCTCGTAATTTAATACGATCGCCACGCGACGCTTCGTGATTGTCTTAAGTTTCTACTTAACTTAATTTCTACTACCTATAACGTGACTTTTTTTTTCATTTTTATTTTTTTTTGATGCTGAGAAATGCGTTACTCATACCCGCTACACCCAGCGCGGGCTTCACGGGTTATGTGGGACTCCTCCTGCGGCCCCACCCCCGAAGGGGCTAGACAAGAAGCAGGAGTTTACCCATTAAAACTCAGCGATGTCCCTCGCATGGAAGGCGATGCCCGGAGGCCATACACCATTCGCCCCCTTTTCGGTCAACCTATCAGGAAACCTAAAGTAGTGAATCATTTAGGAACTTAAGTTCAGTTCATATCTCAAAAACATTAATATTCTCCAATATAGGTATTTTAATCAGCCTCTGGAGCTAGGTCACAATCCTGTCTTAGGTCCATAAAAAAGAAGTTTCATACAAACTTTTCAGCCTTCTTGACCCCCTTCGGGATGGAATTTCCAAAAATCCGTTCTTAGTACACCTCTATATATTAAGAGGAATGTTCTCTTCAAATTTCAAGTTTCTACGACCAGCGGTTAAAGATGTGCGTTGTCTGTCAGTCAGTAATTCAGGACATCTCCTATTATATATGTATAGATTAGATTTGCGCTTATATATAGAAATAATGAAACAAAATGAAGAAAGAGACCCGGGAAATAACTTACAACGAAGAGATTTCTGAATCCAGAGTCAAAGTCATCTATATCATATCCAAGTAGTTGCGGCATTTCAATATCGCAATGTAGAATACAAGCAATACCATCTATTGGGCTTAATATTACCGATTATATTGGAAATGCTGTTTTATCTTAATACAAACATGTGCACAAAATAGTATTTAGAAAATCGGCAATATACGTTCTTACTCAAAAACATCGTAGTAAAACCTAAACTACTCATCCAATCTATATGGTGTAAAAGTGAATTTGTATGTATATTAAATTTCTTCGACGATAAACGTATTTATTTCGATAAGGATTTAATATCACATAACTACTCAAATAAACGTTTAACGACGGACGAAAAATTTAAATACACTTATACGAAGTTCTTTTTATTTTTGTGGCAAAATATTTGCATATAATATGACTTCGCTGACTTTTTTTTATAGATAATTTAAGGCTCTCCAAGTTTTCTTTAGAAAGTATTCGTATATCTCATACCGTTTAGGCAGGGTTCAGAAAAACAGGCACCGTTGGAGGTACTTCTATCCTTAGGGAACCTTTTAGTGGGATAAATATCCTATTATCTAATTCATGTATCCCTTTCTATATACCAAATTTCATTAAAATCCGTTCATTCGTTTCGGTGTGATTGACTGACAAACATCCAAACAAAGAAACTTTCACATTTATAATATGAATAGGACTAGCTGTGTCCGCACGTGGAATAGTGACTTTCGGCAGCATCTTTAATTTTTGGGGTTCAGTACCCAAAGAGTAAAACGACAACCCTATTACTAACTCCGCTATCTGTCTGTCTGTCACCAGGCCGTATCACATAAACCGTGAAAATTAGACAGTTGATTTTTCACAGATGATGTTCCTTGTTACCGTTTCAACAACAATAGAATAAAATAAATATTTAAGGGGTCTCCCGTAGAACGAACGTGATTTTTTTGATATTACCACCATACGGCTGTATTTCAGTTGAGATTTTCACAGATGATGCAGTTCTGTTGATGATATAACAAAAAATACTAAAAACACATAAAATAAAATAAATCTTTAAGGGGGCTCGCATACAACAAACGTAATTTTTTTGGTTGTTTTCGGTATGGAACCCTTCGTGCACGAGTTGATTCGAATTGGCCGGTTTTTTAAGCTAATTATTTTACAAATAAAACACATTTATTCATTAAAAAAGCAATTTACAGTATTTCATGTTATTTAAGAACAAATAAATAAATTAATGTTCAACTACTTTACTTGACTCAAATTATCAAAACCTCTGTAGTTTTTACAATTATTTGACTTGTGAACGTGAGCACAAAAATTTAAATTAGCTTGGAAAGCGAAAAAAATTTTTTTAAAAATAACGCAAAGATTATGGAAATATAGGTACTCTAACCTACTACTAAATTAAAGAAAACAATATATTTCACATTCTACTGTTAAACAAAATGCAATAACTTACTATAACATGTCATTAAATTAATGTGTTTCAAATCAAATAATATCTTTTATTTAAAACCTCATTTACTGAATATAAACATTTATATAATTTTTGTGGCACATTTTAGTTCATCCGGATGTTATTTATTGACACCATATATGAATTGCTCTTAAAATAGTCGGTTCTAATAAGTATTTATTAGGAAATCTTGTGTTAAAATCACGTTTTTTCCTAAAGTTATAAGTTAAACAAACAAACACACCAGTTTTATAAACACAGTAAGTAGCATCATCCAGCGAAAATAGCTAGTTGTAGCATTTTATTATTAGGTCAGATTAAAAATTCCCCATTAAATTATGTTATTGGAAAAACCGCAAAATTTAAAACGAAAGTTACTTTGTCTAAGAACATAATAAAAGTGATATGTTTATGATAATAATAAATAAAACAAAAATGATAATCAAAATCAAAATCTCGTTTTAAAAGAGAGCAAACCAGCTCTACAGCTTAATCACGTATGCTGCGTCTAGAATCTTCTTCAATTAACGTCTTCAGTTTATTTATATTTAAACTGGGTGTGTTTTTTCTTTTCTCAAAATATTGTAGTTAAATCCAAACTACTCATCCAATTGATTTGGTATAAAATATAATTTTTATTTGCATTTAATTTCTTTGACAATGAACATAATAATTTTGATAAGGATTCTATATCACCTATTTAAATAAATGTCTAAAGACGAACAAAAAAAATTAAGTACAAAGTTTATTATTTTTTTTAATCTTAGCACATATATATTTCATATTTAATATATATATTATATATATATATATATATATATATATATATATATATATATATATATATATATATATATATATATATTTAATATTTTAGGTTATCACAACCCGGTAACCCACCCAACCAATAGTAACTAGATATACTCATTGCTTAAGACGTACTAACTGAAAGTATATATACGCCATAGCGGACTTTATAATATATAGATTTTTAGAGCTCTCCAACTTTCCTTTGCAAAGATTTCGTATATCTCGCGTTTACAAAAATAGGCGCCCTTGGAAGTATTTCTATCCTAGGGAACTTTTAGCGTGATAAATAGATGGATATGTTAATTCAGACCAAGAATTGCCTATATACCAAGTTTGTTTGGATTTGATGATAACATATGTACGTCCACTACAGTCACATTTTGCAGGCGACGCATGGTTAGCTAATGGTAATCAATTTTGAGCCATGTTTGGAAACCGGTTTATTTTTCGAACCGGTTCGACATAGGCACATGCGGAATTTTACAGAAAAGGTTACGCTTCTTTGAACCAGTTTTTAAACCAGTTGAAAATCGACGGTCCCTACGTATAATCCCATATCTGAAAATTGCATATTTTACAGGATAACGGTTTGAAAGTTTAAGCTTTTATAACTTTGAAACTATACATAGTGTGATGTTTAAATTTGGCATGTATATAGTGAATGATTTTAAAAATACATGGAATTCATTAAATAACATTTTTTATTATTGTAATTAAGACTTTTGTCAGTTACTCGTTTTTATATTAAAACATGTTATGCACTTAACTAAGCAAGTGGGACTTTTTGTGATTTACGTGGGAATCTGCCGAAATTCAAAAGTTGTAATTGGTAGTTACTAATTTTGTTTATGGAAAATTTGTTCATATTTTTCAGATAGGGATTTTGGTAATTAAGTATGCATAAGGTTAATCAACGTTTATTAGTGTGACAAAAAAAATATAAAATAACAAATAATTTCACAAAGCCTCTATAATATAATTATAAAAATTATAAGCGTTATTGGTTATTTTTTAAATAGATACCAATTATAACACTCATTATAAATCGTTATATTGAAATAAAAAAGAACCAAAATTATTAAAAATGACATCAAAATTAGGATTTAATCTTCTTCACTGCTGTCTTGGTCACCTGGCTGCAATGAATAAAAGTAACTATGATATTGACTTGGAATTATGGAATTTTCACATAGATATTTTAAATCGTTATATTTTTGAATAGGTATCGGGATAGGTCCAGCATATGCCGGTTCAAGTATGATTTCCATATTGTTTGTATTTTGCCGTCTCCTATTTTGACTTCTACTAACTATCATGCGTGTGTAAGAAGTTTCTTCTAAATTAATTTTATAGTTCAGCACTTCAGGCTCTGAAGGATTTACTTGTACTTCCCTTATTTTGGACCAGTAGATTTTATTATTATTTTCGTTTTTGGTCCAGTTCTTACCATCCAGAAGTCTTTTGAAATTAAGTACGTCATTTCTTATTATTTCTCTAACATCATAAGGAGATCCACTTTCTTTGGACCACCTGACTAAAGTAAACCATTGCTCAGGCGTATATATAGTTTTATTTTTGGCACAACGCTCTATTAAGGCATGAATGCTATCATTTTCATTCTGGGTATGTCCTTTTTCCAAAAATCGATGGACTATATTGACATTAAATTTTTTGGCGGCAAACAAATAAAAAGCAAACACAACTCTATTTCTATTTTGTCCACTACAGTTGTCAGAATAAAAATAAAAAGATTTGATGCCTTTTTCTGAGTTATCTCTGATATAATCGTATAAACAGCTAGCCACTTCGTTGGCTCCTTTTTTTGCGATGCCTTCGTGCCACATATAACATTTACCATTCTTTTTGCCCATATTAAATACAGTAAAATTAAAAACAGAAAGCTTGCGTTTATAATATAGTACACTAGTTTCAGCGTGAGGTGTTGATAAAACCTTTTGAAAATCAAAAGCAGCTGTAATGGTATCATTAGGTGAATTAATGGCACGTAATTTGTCTTCATTTTTTAATCTCCTAGCTATGTCTTTGTTTTTTATATGATTATCATATTTTAAAAGAGTTGTTTCTTCAACTGGTTTTAGGCAGTTTTTGTATGCCATACATTCGTCACATTGATCCTTTTTAGGGCGGTGAAATTCGATGTTAAAATGGTCATTTACAATGTCTGTATATTGTCTGACGGTCATTGCTTTATTAGAATATGCATTAGTAAGTACAATCCAATCATTGTATAATTTAAACATTTTAGTGTAAGTAAGTGTGCTATCTAAATATAATTTTGACGAATCTTTGCGAGTATAATGGGATTCAATGGGTGCAAAAGATTTTACATGATCGCAAACACTTCTTTTCATTTCTTCATCAATTATTACACGATGATTGTGATGACGTCCTCTGTCATCTCCTTTGATGAGAATCCCATCTCCATCTCTAAGTTTATTTAGAGCTGATCGTAGCACACCTTCACCAACAGAAAACGTACTTAAAAACATTGTACGACAAACTTTAATTTTATTATCACTTTGTAAGTTTTCTGGTAAAGAATACCTTAGCGTGAACTTTCTATTTGAGTGACCTTCAGTAGTCATACGTCTTTTATGAATTTGATCACAGAAACGTGTTAATAGCTCCCATTGTCGCAAACGATCACCAAGACCCCAAAATTTTTTAAATATTTCTTTTCTTACGGTTTCGCTATTTTTTTTTTGTACAGCGAAGCCTACATTTTTGGTTACAAGCAGGCAAGAGCTTTTTTGGAGAGTTCATTTTACCGTTTCGACTTTTGTATCCAAGTCCTAAATTTTTTAATGATTTTCTTTTATTATCTTCCCAAGAGCTTTTATGAACTTTTCGAGTCTTGCCTATGTCCTTCCTTTTCGTACACTTCCTTTTTTTACATTTTTTTAATACGACTGTTTCAGAATTGCTTGATTCTGAATCTGCATAATAAGTACTATTTATTGATTCTTCAGGTATAGGAGGCAATGGGGAATTTACGGTATTTATTGTAGATACTGAGGGCACATTCAAGTCTGTTATTGTTAAATCTATCGAAGAAGAAGGAGAAATTATCGGAGTGCTTGTATTTATTTGTTTTTTGAGATTTGCGTCTATATTATCCGTCTTAAAGTCTTCAAATAATGGGGATAATGGTGAGTTAACCACCGCTGTAGATACAGAAAGCAAATTCACTGATAACGTTGTGGAATCCATGTTGTTGATAATAGTTGAAGTTGCCGGAGAAGGCAACAATATATTAAGACTTTCTTGTTGAAAAGGAATAACTTCTGTATCAAAAATTAAATCATCGGGGTCGTTCATTTCATTGCTCAAAATGGTATTATTGAATGGATCTGTAAAACAAGTTTTATTAATATTATTATTCTTTCTCAATACATTATTAGTAATGATTTGTTACAAAAAACAAATAATGATACCTTCAGATTTATTTTCGGTCAAAATTTTTCGTAATTTGTCCATTTCTTCTTCACAATAGTCTGCCGGTAATGGTGATTCTGTAATAAAATATTATTATATCAATACCTAGTACCTATAATAAAACCAACTAACAATTTAACGCTTATCCCATAAATATTTTTATCAAAATTAAACTCTATAAATTGTATATCACAGACGTATAAATTAGTAACTACACTTTTCTCTCAAAAATAATATTTTAATTCCCGCTTACAATCACGTAAGTACCACTTAGTATTTGACGAAAACTAATTGCCCATCTTACAATCAAATAACTGTCACATAGTATTTTAACAACTTCCAGCTTTCCGTAGTACAATTAAGTAACTGCCAGATACCATTTCAGAAACATTTAGGAAGCCGTCGTATAAATAAGTAACTGCCATTTAGGAATATTGTCATGGGATATTTACTTAATTATGTGATTTACTCTGATATTACGTTTAATTATAAAAACAAATGCTTTTTTTCAAGACCACAAATATAAAAAATGACTTAAATTTAGTTACTTATAAAATATAGTGTATTATTTGTTTATATTATCAAAATAAAACTTACCCGATGAAGCTCTCATTTCTTTTGTACTTTTTTTGTCCAAACAATCACTTTTATCTTTAGCAGGAACTGGTAAATTTAATGTTTTGAAAATTTTTTTACACCTTTGGCTCATTTTCGTCACTTTTATTTATTTGAATCTTGATGCGGCTACACCGGTGAAGCTTGCGCGTGCAACTGCCACTTGAGGGCTACACAAGGCGACCTACGTAGTGACGTTCCGACGTATTCTTCAGTTAGTGACAGTAAAGAAGTATTACGACGGTAAAATTATTATATATTGCAGATATGATGTTTGTCGTACTTCATTATTTAAATAACTATTGCACTTATTTATTTTATTGTTTCATTAGCCGATAGGGCTGTGTTAGGGGAAGACAAAGGAATAAAAAAGTGAAAATCACCCAACTGCCATATCTGGGACTTTACGTAGGAACCGTCGAAATATGACTCTAGGCAATGATCTCACAAACTTCGGCACGATATTGAAGTACGTTTACTCATATCCATAACATCTGTACATAGGTATAATAAATGTCGTCGCAGCGTAAGAACATTGCTCTTTACGAACCAAGCAAATTAACCGATTTTTATTCCATCCGATTTTCACATCGCATTGTCCGATCCGAAACAGAACATTACAAGAGAACAGGCTTTACTTTAATTAAAACGGTTTACTCCAAACCGGTTACAAGCCCCGAATGCTGCTGCAGTTGAGCTATTTAAATGTGATATGTCCTTAATGCTCTAGCTACGGCTCTATCATCTAAAACGTTTAATCTCCTCATAAAAACGTTTAACTGATATTGTCTATGATAATGGTTTTAATTTTTGTTATTTTTCTAATTATGTTAAGTTTGACTAAATAGAAATAAGTATCTGTTAAAAATATTTTAGGTTATCACAACCCGGTAACCCACCCAAACAATAGTAACTAGATATACTCATTGCTTAAGACGTACTAATCGAAAGTAGAAAGATAATATCATCGGCTGGCTCTAGAGATAACTTTGACGAGAGGATTCCGCAGCGAAAACGAGAAAAAAATCAACTTAAATACTTAGATTACTTAATATTAGTCTTACTATTAGTATCAATTTACCCTTTGGGTACGAAACCCTAAAAACCACTGATCTATTGTATGGATGGATGAATCCATAGAGCTTTATTTATATGTATAATTGGTTGAGTGTGAAGATAATGTTATCTTATATATTTAATCAATGTAGTGACAATACGTTCGTAAGTTCTTTATATGCAAGCAATAAATATAAGAGTCTAATAATATATAAAAATCGCTTGCTTTGAAAATGTTTGGTAAGAGATTTTATCAGTTACGCCACCGATGTTACGCGACAAATCTTCCATCAGATATGTAATGTAATTGTACCAATTGAAATCACTGTTTTATAAACAAGTTTCGCTATAGTAAGTAAACATAAAATTTAATTAATACACAACGAAGACTTTATGAAATAGTCAAACAAGCAAAACAATCTTGTGTATCAAGAGTTTGAGACGAGTAAATGTTAAATTGCTCTCTTTAAATGCAAATGTTCCTTTGAAATTTATCCACTTTATTTCTGAGTTGTTTAGACTGAGATTTTACTTTTAATTAAGAATAACGTCACTTTTAATGTATTGTTTTACGACCTTGACTTCTGCGTTGCCGATTTTTTTATTGTTGTTTAGAATTTGCATCTTAGTTTTATGAAAAAAAAACAGATCATTCTATCTTACTTTCATAATCGGCCTGTAACAACTAAGTACTTGATTTTGGTAAATTACAGAACAGTGCGACCTTAATATAACAAACCTCAATTTAACGATTTTCTCGATTTAACAACAACAAACCTCCTCCTCCTAAACGCTCAAACCTAGTATGTTTTAAATAATAACACAAGATTTATTGTTTTATTTCAGTCGGAAAACAGTAGTAACAACATCACGATAGCTACACTTGATTGGGTAGTGAAAAAATATCTTTCCTTTTCATTTTTCGATGACGAAGCTTCACAAGTATATTTTCCACACTTAGAAGGAAAGTCAAAGAGCGATTTGAAGAGCTCCAATTGAATCTCAAGGAAAGACTTCAACAATTATCATCTAAAATGTCGTTTACCATTAATGGGTGGACGTCAATTGCTGGTAGGAGTTACTACGGGGTTACTATACATTATATAGACAACGAATGGAAGTATCGATCTGTAGTTCTTGATTTTATACCATCACGCGGTCGACATACTGGGGAAGATATTGCAACGATTTTCCACGAATGTTTATTGGAATATGACATAATTGATAAAATACAAGGTATCACGGTCGACAACGCAACTGCAAATACCAAATTTATGTATGAACTAGGCAAACAGCTGCCACCACACTTTGATGCAGACAATCAACATTTCCAGTGCTTTGCTCACATTTTAAACCTTGGTGTACAAGAGTTATTAAAGATCTTGATATTACACTGTGACACTGATACTAACGAGCAAGATCAGCAGCATGAAGACTATGCAGACGAAACTGAGGAAGATGAAGAACATGAAGAATATGCACCAAATATTGCTGACTCGCGTACATCTGTAACAAAGTTACGCAGTATTTCCAGTAAAATAAAAAGAAGTGAAATAGTGAAGAAAAAGTTTCAGTCTGCTGGCGTGCCATCAAATCTAAATCCCATTCTTAACTGTCCAACGAGATGGAATTCCACATATGATATGATTGGATTTGGTTTAAAAGTGAGAGCGGGCATTAACATATTGTGCAGTTCTATCACCGAATTGAATGATTTTCAAATCACAGCTAGTGAATGGCAAATACTCGAAAAAATACATAAGTTTCTAATAAACTTTAAACTTTTAAGTACAAAACATAGTGGAAAAAATATGTTACATTACCGCTACTCATTGTATCACTCAATCTCTTGCTCGATAAAATTGAATCCATGGTAAAACACTTAAATGAGAAACCTAATCGATCTGAAGTGGACGAAAGGCTCATTCCGGCTTTCCAAGCAGCTCGTGACAAAATGCTTAAACATTATAAGAAGAGCAACTGGATTTATTGTACTTCTTTTATTTTAGACCCAAGGCATAAGGCTCAGACTTTTGACCTGACAATATGGGGGAAGCAACTTAAAACAGAAAGCCTGCGCAAGCTCAATGAACTTTATGAAGAATACTACAGTCTACACTCACTGAACAAATCTCTGGAATTACCAAGAAAAGAAAATAAGGTATGTGATGAAGATGAAGACGTAATAGACTTTGATAAACTGTATGAATATCTGTAACTGTATGAATCTGGATCTTGTCTTCAAGGCTTAGTGATAGACGAGTTGGAGGAGTACCTGAGAAAACCAAGAGCTGCCAGCTCCGAAGACATTTTAGATTGGTGGAGGACGCACGAGACAGAGTATCCGACTTTATCGAAGATGGCCCGTGATTTTCTCTCAATACCTGCAACTTCAGTACCTACTGAGAGATTATTTTCGAAAAACATCATTAGTAATTAGAAAACATAGAAATAGGTTAAGTGGTGAGTCAGCCAGATGGTTACTTTGTATTAATTTTTGGTCAAAAGAATTGATATAAAGTCACAGAACCTAATGACAAAGCTGTTATGTTATTTGATTTGTGTTGTATTTTATTTTTTATTGAAATAAATGATAAATCGTAAAACTCTTTAATTAAATTTCATATAAGTTGAGGGTTCAAACTCTTTCTAGAGAGATTCTTTAAAATACAGTCAATTTATTGTAAATAATTTGTTTTTACATGTTTGAGCACATGTAAGCTTATAAAGCATAAATGTTTATTAAGAAACAGTTAATCCCATGGAATACGGCATATAGCTCAGTTGATAACCATGTGGCAATTATCGAATTTTTTATCAAATCTTCAGAAATTTATTAATCTGATTGTTCTTTACTATAGCTATGTTAATTCCTAAGATCTAAAGTAAACTTTAATAAAAAGCAATAGTCTAATAGGTAATTGCAAGACTTGCAAGACTCTTGCTGCAAGACCAAGACCAAGACTGGGAGCGCAAGACCAAGATCAACACCAAGACCAGGTGTATTGGCGCAAAACCAAGATCAAGACTGGCCAAGTCTCGTCTTGTTCTTGCATTTGGGCAACACTAATTTACAGCTACATAGATTTTATCAACTCATGATCACTCATCGGAAACAGAAATTAATACATACATACATATATTATTTTAGTATATGACAAACGTTGTATGCATGCAGTTTAAAAACAAATGTTGACAAACTAAATATTAACCATCAAAATTAAATATTCTTTGTATATTTACGACTAACCACGCGCACGTTGTCCCTAGACAACTGTTTAGTGGGATAAAAGTCGCCCAACATAAACTCAATCCAAGCTTAGAATTTAATTTAATAAATCTTTTGAATAAGGTTTTACATATCACGACACATATATATTTTACTCTCGAAATCAAAATCAAAATTATTTATTCAGTTTAGGCTGTTACAAGCACTTGTGAAAGTTGAGAGCTATGCCATCAGTTTGTAAATCTACAAGCAACTCGGCAAGGGCCGCTTTTTTCTCCCTGTTTTATTTTAAACACTGTCACTTCCCATTACAATATGAGAATATAAGAGTAAAACACTATTTTCGTCAATCGAATCACATGTGTAGTCAAAGAAGCTCACCGATAAACAATTTAATATACGAGTACATGAAAATTGAGCCATATTTAACACCAAAATAATAATAAGTAAGAAACTAATATATTTAAATTTAAGCTGGCTCTCTACCTTAGGCACGTATTTTTATAAAATAGCCTTTGCGGCAGTTGGTGAAAAATTTAAACCAGATGTTGTTTCAATTGGTATGTTTGTAAAATACTCATCAAATATATTATCAATTTTATCATGAGATTATTAAAGTTAAGTGTCAGAATATCTTCACGTATTTGCTCCTTACCAGTTTCACGGTTTATTATATTCCAAGTTGTTTAAACTTTATTATAGAAATTCTTTATTTTCTCTTTAATAAAATTTGACTTTGCCGCAGAACACACCCTTTTGAATACTTTCGAATAATTCTTCACGTAATCAATGAAATTTTTTATTGTGGT